AAAAAAAAAACCTCATAAGAATATAATAATTATGTATAAAATAGATAGATCGATTAATCTTGATAAATAGGAGCAAAAATTATTATAGATATAAAGTCCTTCAATGTTGTCTTCTAACTCGAATATTGGACACACCCATATATACTAATATTCTTTTTCTAGATCAAAAGATGATAAAAATCATGAAAATAATAATTTTTTTTTTTTTTTGAAACAAGAAAACATAAAATAAAATTTCAAGGTTTTTGACCTTTACATATATAATGACGTTATATTTTCACGTTCGCAAAGTACTCTTTATTATTATCTGCGTAATGTCTATAATCAGACAAACGAACATTATTATAATCGATAGTTATGTCCTATCTTGAAGTGAAAAAGAACGAAAAACTGTCTGCAAGACACGTAACATTCTTTTTTTCGAAATCATTATATATATCAAATAAACTCAATTATGTATGTTTAAACTATTGTCTGTTTAAAAAAATATAATGGTCATGAGTATTTTTGTAATAATTCAAGAATGAAAATTATAAAACATTGAAAAAAAAATGATTTCAATAATGAAGAAAAAGATATTCCGAGATCTTCTCTTTCAACTAGTGAAAATTGCAGTTCTCTAACTTTTTTCATTCTTGATTTATTTTTTTTAAACAAACAAAGTTTAGTGAAGAATAAATAAATCGAATAAAATCCACCGATCATACAACATAGAAACTCTATATAGACATATAATTCTATGAAATCCGATAGATTCGTGATTTCGATAGTGGTGAATTCAGGAGAAAAGAATTCAATTTCCGGATCACAATGAACTTACTTCTTCTTGTTCATCATCATCATTTTCAATATCACTATTATTATTATTATTTAATAGAATTTTTTCTTGTTGAAAATTTTGATCAAAATTTGAAGTATATTTCATTGATGCTGCATGTCCTTTACGATGAACAAGTAAATCTGATAAATCATCAGCTTCATAATCACATTGACGACAACGAAGATTATTATTATTATTATTATTTTGTTGACGTGAATTTGTTGTTATACGTTTTTGTTTATCAGCATTATCATCTTGTTGTTGTTGTTGATGATGATTTTCGTCAACAATAATTAAACTATTATTTTCATCATCATCATTATCATTATCATCATCTTCTTCATCAACAATTTCTTCTTCTTCTTCTTCTTCTTCATCAATAATTTCATTTGATTTTTGTTGTTGAACAAAAAATGTTGACATTTGCATAGCAGCTGCTGCAAATGCAGCAACATTTTGTTTATCAGTTGATATTGTTTTACTTATATCATTATTACCAATAACTAAACCAAGACTCTATAGAAGAAAAAAAAAGAATAGAATCATTTTTTTGTTTTTGTTCACTTATTTTTACCTCCATAACTTTTGCCATAGCTTTACGTCCAACTAAAACTGGTCCATGATGATTACATAAACGCATATGTTTTTTAACATCACATTTCCATTTTGATTTATAATCACAATTAAAACAATGATAAGGACTTTCAGCTGAATGAACAATTAAATGTCGTCGTAATTCAGCCATTGAATTAGCAGCAAATGGACATTGTTGACAAGCTAATGTACGATCACGTGTATATTTCATTGAAGATAATTTTTGTTGTACATCAATACCAAAAAAACTATAATCTTCATCAGTTAATGGTGCTGGTGCTAATGTTCGATCATCAGTTCCTTCATATTTAGCTTTAAGTGTTGTTTGAAATAAATATTTATCGGGTAATTCAACTATTTTTGCTGTATCATGAGCATGTTGTTTTTTAACATGTTTCTAAAAAATATTATTTATT